CACAGGATCCACATGGGCCAAAAGCTAGAGCCCTTCCCCAAAGCTTCTCCTTATATACTAGAAGCAGGCCAAAAGCATCGCTAGCTGCTCACAGCAGATTCCACTATGGAGGTGATTATAATCTCATCATGGGGAATAACTATATCCAACTGCCTAGCCACTCAAAACCATGGCCCAGTCAAGTTGATATATAACCTTAACTACCACAAAGTCTATTCTATTTGAGCTTCCTGAGCTTCTGGAATGCTTATCTTCTTGTCTTTTATGATATTAAGACATTTTCTTCCAATAAATTTTTGACAATTGTCTTGGTGCTTTTTCTAGTCTTTTCCTCTAAGTTCTGTAAGTCTGATCACACATAAGTTATTCCTCTTGAAGGCATCCCATATAATCTAAGGTTTTATATTTTTATGATTATTTCTATAATAGATTAAGAGATTTGTCTTCAATTTTGCTAACTCTGTCTTCCATTGATTCAGTTCTACTATTTTACCTTCCAACGTGTTATCTATCTGAAATTTTAGTATTAATCTTCTGGATTCCTATTTGCCATGTTTGTATTATTTTTAATTTTCCATTTATTTTGTTCTTTATCTTCCATGTATATATTCTTGGCTTCTTTCATGAATTTTTCTAGAGTTTTGTCTTTGTTTTCCTTGATGTTATCTATGATTTCCTTGGTGTTTGTTTTCCCTGATCTTTTTCCTAGTCTGCTGAAAGGACTTAAGTATAAATCTTTTGAATTCATTATCAGGCAGTTCAACATTTCTTCCACTAGAAATTTTTCTGGGCCTGTATTTTAGTCACTTGTTTGAGTCATTTTGTCCTGTTGTTCATTTGATTTGAAACTGTCTGTTGTCTCCAAGACATTGTGGCATTGTTGAATTTATTTGTTCATTGTGTGTTTGTTTGCTTCATCCTGATTTTTCCTTTTGTTTTAATATACCTGGGCAACAGGGCATGTATACGACACTCGTCACTAGTTTGGCAGTACCAGAGCAGTGACCACCTGTCTCTAGGTGAGTTTTGTTGCAGTTGGGAGTGTGACTATTGAGTGTCTAATTGCTGGGTACGTAGAGCAGCAGACGGCAGACTGGGTGGTGTTGGCTATCATCTGTCATTGATTCAATGGTGATGGAACAGATAGTAGCACTCACCAAGTGGCCAGTGTGGCAAGTGTGGTGATTATGGCTGGGTAGGGATGCTGGCTCATGACTGACAGGGAAGAAAAATAATGAGAGTGAAGAAGAAGAGTAAAGAAAAAAGAAACAAAGAAGAAGACAGAACAACTATGAAGAAAAGAAAATAGAGTAAGCAAGAAAAAAAAGAGAAGAGAAGAGTAGCACAGTACTGGTGCAAGCACAGCCACCAAACATGGCTGCAGCAATAATGCAGGATTAGACATTGCTGACCATGGAGGGGTGGATGTGGTTTCTGCTGACTATGCAGGTGATGGGAGGGGGGTGTCCACTCCTCAGGATCAAATATCAAAAACATGGGGCAAGGAAGAAGAAAGAAAAAGGAAATTTAAAAAATGGGGAAAAAGGGGGTAAGAAGAAGAAAGAAAAAGATACAAAGGAAGAAGGAAGGGAAAAAAAATGAGCCCAGCACTGGTCATGGTGCGGGGATTTGACCAGCTACCTGGTGGGTGAGGGCCAGGGAGGAGGTGCCACATCTCTGGTCACCAGGAGGTTATGTGGGCTACCATTCTGATAGCCATCAACAATGTGGGTGCCAGTGCAACCCTCGGCAAGCAGAGCTGATTATATGGTTGCTGTCCTGATCAGAACTCTGCTTGCAAGAATTCAAAATGAACCCACAACTGTGGTTTCCAGCCAAACAAAGTACAGGCATGTGAGTTAAACATTTACCTCAAGTAGACACACGCCCTGGAGAGAACAATCATGGGAGAAGGAAGGGCTGCTTATGCACAGGGAGATAGCTCAGGGTGCAGAAGAGTATGAAGGGATGGACACTGGGAGGAGGTAACTATGGGGAGGAAGTGGGAGGGGAGCTGCTGCATTGTAAATTTTGGTCAATGACATGAGACAAAGTATATGTGAACTGCTGTATGAAAAGTGAGTTTACTCTGTAAATCTTCACCCAAATCCTAATAAAAAAAAAAAAAAAGAATTCAAAATGTCTGCACTGTCCTGGACCCATTGGCAATTCACTGCTTCATCTGCCTCCTTGTTTGTTGTTTTTGTTCAGTCTCTTCCTCTAACAGGTATTTGATCTATTTCTTTATCCTATCCTCTGAAGTGCTGGGTTCCAGGATTATCATCCATATTCATTTCACTTGGATTCTTGGGTCTTTGTGGTAGAGGGTATGGATATTATATCTGCCTAGTCCATCATCTTGGTCCTTCTCTTGGATTGTTTTTTAACGACTTTCTGAAACCTGAGTTTCCTGGCTTTAGATAAAGGACATCTCCAAAAGAAGGTTAATCCAATTTAATCCATCTTTACAAACTGAACAACTATAGTCATTACAAAACAAATGGCTCTCTCTTCTAATGTCAGACTTGTGACACATTATTTTCCATCCTTTTCAATATGCAAATATAACATACATTTTCCTAAAATGTAAGAGATAATGTGTTTCTTTGCTTATGAATTGTACACCTTGGATAGCTTCAAAAAAGATAGTATGTAGCTCCTAAGAATTTTCTTCTGTTTTCTTAATTCTTTCCAGTCATGCTTTATAACACTAAAACATTGGGAGGCTCAGGCTGCAATTATGAAACTTCTGGGTAATGTGCTCTGCAAAATAATCTATAGAGAAGTAGCTCTGATTTGTCATGGCCCAATTAAGTCAGTAATGCTTTTCCCTATGTCTTAAGACTCCGAAGTAATATAAATTTTTAAACATAAGATTTCAATGCACACAAAACTATAAAGTATGCTAATTTTTACTTGAAATACAGAACAAAGTTTTAATTACTATTGTAAACCAAAAACCATACTCATTGGTATTGAGTCAATTTAGATTCCTAGCAATCCTATAGGACAGAGAAGAAGGGCCCTATATGGTTTCCAAGGCAATAAAGCTTTATGGAGGCAGACTATCATAGCTTTCTCATGCAGAGCAGCTGGTGAGTTTGAACCATTGACCTTTTAGTTAACAGCTGAGCACCTTAACCACTATGCCAACAAGTGTCTCCTACTAAACAACCCACTACCATTGAGTTCATTCTGACTCATAGCAACCCTATAGGACAGGGTAGAACTGCTCCATAGGTTTTTCAAGGCTGTAAATCTTTACAGAAGCAGATTGCCTCATCTTTTAACAGTGGAACAGCAGGTGGGTTCGAACCACTGAGCTTTTGATTAGTAGCTGAGTGCTTTAAATAGGACTCCTAATTATTATTCTAGCTTAAAAATGTACTTAGAATCTATTACATGTGATCTAGGTGACTAGTCAACTTGACTGATAACAACTTTAATAGTTTCATACACTGCAATCACTGGCAGTGGTGGTTCAGTGGTAAAATTTTCACATTCTTTGTGGGAGATCCAGGTTTAATTCCCAGCCAATACATGGCAATCAGAAGTTAGACTGCTTTTTGTTGTTGTTCACTTTTAATCCATGTAACAGAAAATCTTCGTCCTAGTTACAAAGCATATGAAGAGTTTGCTTAAATAGATGGTAACTAAGTCGAGAACAGTGTTTCTACTATGAAATGCAAATTTCTCAAGCAACCACTTCATTGCAAAATATGGCACAACAGGTCATTCTCCAAATTCCGAGTTAAGCCTAAAGGCTGAACAAAAGCCCTGAATATATATTCTCTGGATCTATAGTATTTAATTCTCTTAAAAGCTAGTATCTCTGAATATTTTGTTCTAGTCTTTGGCTCAGTAAACTACAATTATCTAAAATGAGCTGTTTCAGATGTCATTTAAAGATGACCAAACGTTTACCAACTCACTTGCAATGTGTAAGAACTAGAGGTATTTTCCAATAGCTCTCTCTTTCATCCTCCCTAAAAATCCACTGCCAGTAAGTTGATTCTGATTCATAGTGACCCCCACTGGGTTCACAAAACTGTAAATCTCTACAGAAGTAGATTGTCTCATCTTCTTCTCGGGGAGTGGCTGGTGAGTTTGAATCACTGACCTTTTGCCAAATGCCTTACACACTATGGTACTAGAGCTCCTTCACCCTCCCTATCCATCCTGAAGAAAAGTACTTGACCTTATTTTGTCAATCTTTCTCAATCTACCTGTAAAGGTATTGCTTGATTGAACTGAAAAACATAATTAGGAGTCTTCCTACCCAATTATCCTAAACCTCTAAGGAGGATGTTAAAAGTAAATTTCATTTTAAATATGGCTATCATACATCTTCAATTTAAATTTAGAAATAAACACATTCTATTCTGGCAACTGGCTTTCTCATTTTATACCTTTTTCTATTTTCCCAACTGGAAGTTGCTCTTGTCTTTAGCTGATTCTATTACACAGTGTATTCTCTTAATCCTTTGGATGAGTGTTCTCGAACACTACTGCATTATCAGTGTATCAATATTATTGTAGTGATCTTCAGTGCATACTGCAGTCATTTTTCTGTACCCTAAAAAGTACCCTTTCACTCACTAGTGGTGGTCTTAGTGCTTTTTGAGTCTAAATTACAGCAACAAAGACAGTCACCAAAAATCACAGGACTTGGGCATGATTATGGAACACAAACACAAAAAAGACAATTGTTAAAGAAAGGCACATGAGAAATCCAGTAAAAACAGTCCTAACACTCGAAGGTGAGGCTTCCATGAATGTATCCTCATGATACCTGTTTGGTTTGCTATTATATGAAAGAAGAGAAGGCTTTCCTATTTCAATAAAACCTGCTTTGATACTGTTTTAATTTAAAAGGCATTTCTCCAGTGGGCTGAGACCTCCGGAGAAGCCAAGAAAACACTCTAGCATGCATCCAGGTAAAGAGAAGATATCAGTATTTTCTTGCATTAAAGGTGGTTAGCGCAAGGCTGTAAACTTACCTGGATCGAGCCTCGATGTGTGATGGAGGGTCACCAATGGAGTGGCTGGGTGAGGCTGGTTGCTTAGGTGAGGAGAGGGGTACCCTGTGCTTGGGAGATCTTGGCACTTCACTGAAAGAGGAGTCTTGCCCAGAGAATGAGAAGGATGAGGAACTCTCAGCTGCTGGGGGGAGATCATGGGCCTGCCCAGTGGCACTTAATTCTTGAACTTGTCTTTGGTTTTCCACATTCAGCAGCACCTCCTTGTCTGAAACAGTTTCACTCCCAGGGAAGGCATAGTTCTTGGATTCAACCGTGGAGGTCTGGAGCCCCATGGTCTCAGTCCTGGAGTACACAGAACTCAAATCCTTGCTGGACTCTTCCTGTTTGTCACTTTTTCCTCCCCTTTTCTCAACAGCATCAGGTTCCTTCCTGGACTTGGTATATCGAGATAAATATTCAGAGTCACCTTCGGAATCCAGAGTCAGCCCATATTTTTCTGCAAGCTGCCGTCTCCTTTCTGCTTTGTACCGTGCTATTCTTTCAGCTTTGGACTCAAGACCCTGGGTGTCCATGGTGCTTGAACTATAGGATGAGTCACCAGAGATTTCTGTGCAGTATTTAGATTGAGTTTGCTTTTCTAAACAAGAATCAGAAGTTTCTTCCTCTTCATTTGATCGACCTATAAGAAGATCATATGGAAAATAAATTTGGACTTCAAGTAAAGAAGCATATTTACTACAACTATGTTGTACATAGTACCCACTTGTGCTTCCATGCTGTGAAGGACTAATTTCTCACACTGATGTATTTAATTAAAATAATTTACTGGAGGTACTGGAGACATTTGAGATCTGCAGGGAAATATCTGAAGGTTGAGAATGTTCTGCAGGCCGTGAGAGCCACGTCAGGCTTGCCCTAAACTAAAGATCAGCCCTACATTCACAAGGGCTCCTCAAGTCCTTGCCTCTTTCTATTTACTTTTTTTTTTTGGTTCGTTTTTGAGTTTAATATTTCACATGTGAGACCAAAGGACAAGTTCAAAGTCCTCTATAAAAGATAATGGATATTCAAACTGCTGTAATTTGACAAGCAACTCTTATTGCATGGGCTCTGATAGTAACCATAACAGTATGGCTCATATCAAAATATTCACCAGGTTTTTTACATAAGTATTTCTTTTTTTCCAATTACAGCACACGTGCTTGATGTAGAAACTGTCTAACATAGGAAACTTACAAAGGTAAAAACCCCAATCACCAATAATCACACTTTATCCTGATAATCTGCCAAACATTCTTATGTCCCTTCTAGTCATTGATGGTACATATTTCTTTTTTCTATATAAAATATTCAATGCTCTCTGTAATATTTATATTCTATATAAAAGTTTCCTGAATTTAGAAATCTTTATCTTGAAGACGTAATTTTTAAGGCTTCCAAATATTCTATGCAAAAGGTAAGCCACCATTAATAATACCCTACCCAGGTTGCTGGGCATTTAAGCTGTTTCCAAGTTTTAATTAGTCTGATTTTCTGATTAATGTCATGATAGACTTATAAAAGTAGAATTGTTTTCTCAAAGGGTGGACCAATTTAAGACACTTGTTAGAATATCAAATTGATTTTTAAAAAATCTTTATCAATTTATACTTCTCCCTCAAATATACTAAGTATTAACTTAAAAATATTTGTTCTTATTAGAAAGACAGATATATACATTTATTTTTCATTAGTTTATCAGCCATTTGCAATGATCTTTTCTCCTCTCTGGAATGGCTTACTGCCTATATTCCATTGACTAATAGTATTATTTTTGTTGGTTTGTGTAAACCCTTTGATTAGATTAACTTTTGTCTTACTCATGAATATTATCAAACTTGTTTACTCTTCAATTTTGTTGAAGAGTCTATATGTGCAGTGTAGTAAATTACTTTGTGTGGCTTTTCTACCCATAAGTCTTTGTAAACTCCAAGGTGGAATTTGCTATGAGCAACTGAGGAGCTCCTGATTGCTGAAGGTGTCCACCTGGAGTATTTCTGTTGGGAGTGGCACAAAACAATGTTCTGGGAGGTGCCCACTGTCTCTCAGGTACTTAGAGTTCTGATGCTATAATTGGCTAGTTTGACCACCCTGCCGGGCTCAAAAGGAAGCCTCCTGGAGGCAGAACTCTCTCTGACTGCTGGTTGAGGAAGACGTGCTGCTGAAAGAGACACGGGTTCCTGAGACACACATTGCTGGGAAAGAGATGCAAGAGACACGCATCGCTGAGGAAGACACCGAGGGACCAGCACTGCTGAGAAAGAGACTGTGAGAGACTGTTGGCTGAGGGATGGTGGGCTGGAGAGAGAGACTGAGCATTTTTTTCCTGAACGCAAATTGTAGCTTGGTGCTTCCCTAATAAACCTTGTAATCTGTGAGTTCTGTGTGGCCACTGCAGCGAATTATCAAACCCAGGAGAGAGGTGGTGGGTACTCTGGGAGGAATGGTTGGAGAAAGGACTGGAGGGAGGCAACATGTCTGGACTGGCAGTAATAGGCCTTGGGTTACTGCTGGTAACCTTGTCTTCCCCTTGTGGGGTTAGAGGAGGTCAGAACATGTGGCCTCCTCGCCGTTTTAGCAGTATATGTTTATGTAAAAATCCCTTTGAAGTACAGGTTATGAGGTGGTCAAGTCAATTCATCTGCTCATTTGTGTTTTCTCCCACTTCTCTGTGCTTTGGAAATCCTTTTTCATCCAAACTTGAATTAAATACTCACTGATGTTTCTAATTATTTTCTTAAAATTAACTAAGTGATTAATTAGAACTTACTTTTACCTTTGGTATAAAGTGAGAATAAAAATATGCCCCTTCTCTTATCCCACTGTTAACCAGTTTTTCTAATACCAAGTATTAAAATAATTCTTCCTTTTCTCACTAATGTCTGGTTATCAAATTTTATATTACACAGATTATTAACATTTTATGCACCCTATAATTTACTTCTGAGCTCTAAATGTTGGTACTCTGGTCTGTCTATACTTTATTCTTCATATATGCAATTCAAAAAACCCAAAAACCCAAACAACTTAGTTACCTAGCTTTCTGGCCATAGAAGATTAGAAACACAAGCAAACTGATAAGATCATGAAATGAGATCAACAACCCTCTCTAAGGAAGAAGCTAGAAAGCACTGGCTATAAAATCAATGCACAGCGCCTCCCAGTCAGCGACTGGGGGTGAGAGAAACAGCCCTGTTATGTGTCATTCGCTCTGGGGGTCAAGCTAAGTATTTGCTACCTAGACAATGACGTTGAGTCAGCAGAGAAAAGCTAACTCAAGTACAATATACTGCTTAACATGAAAACAAATACGCAGTACATTTAAAATTACATACATCAAAATAATTTAAATAGAGTGTTGCATAAATAGAGTAGGAATCTTAATCACTTAGGGTCCAACTTTGCCCATAAATTCCTTGCTGAGAGCAGCCTCATCCTGCACTGAGCAACGGGGCGTTAAGGTTAAACCTGAGAATTGAGCATTGCTTATTTCATTCATTCTTTTACCAAACATTTACTGAGAATCTCTGCCAGTAGATCCTGTACACACCTTGAGGGTGTGGAGAGAGAGAGACACACAATTTCTGCCCTTGAGGAAGTTCTAGTCTAGGGAGAAATGACTGGTCATCAGTTTTTCAACAATGTGCCTAAGTGGTGGAGGTGGTGGAGCAACAGAATTATATTTTATTGCTGCAATACCAGGCGATCATATTAGTGAAGTCAGGCAGAGTGACACAAGTTTTGTTGTTTCTGTTTTTTAACAACTATATGTATTTAATTAAAGTATATCTAGGCAATTCACTTTTATGGGCTCTCATTATACCTTGGGCAAAAAAGGCTCATATGTCACACAGTGAGTCAGACACACTCTCACCAATGTGGGGGCTGGATGGGTCTGTGGCGCGCATGTATCTGGGCGTGTCCTCCCCCAGCAGACGATGAGTCACTAACCCTGTGCAGCTCTGCAGAAGGATGGGCTGGGCGTCATTTTCAATACCTTCCAAACGTCTAGCAATTCTTTCTTTTCTGTGCAGTACACCAAAAGGACACAATGAGTAACAGAAATCAGTTGTATGGGAAATCGGAATACTGTTTTATCAAATTCTTCTACTTCCTAACACTTCCCAATAGGACACCGTTAAACGTCTTACCTTTTCATTTCTAAAAATTCTTCCTTCTTTGGTTCAAAGATTTTTCTTAATTCTGCAACTAAAACAAAAACGTCCAATATTTAGTAGGCATACATTTTTACTCATTCATGCAGCATCTATTATTTGAACTCATATTTCTGGTCCTGGCCTCCCATGCTACAGTGTTACACAAAACTGACCAAGTTCCTGCCTTCCTGGGGACTGTTGACCAGACCAGTTAGGGAAGGTACTTCCCAAGAGTAAGCATGTGTACCTGTGTGTGCACACACACGCACACACTCATGTGCATAGTCACAGGTAAACAACTAAGAGGAAAAATGATGCAAGGTAAGGGGTAGAGTGACAGAAGAAACCAAAAACCAAACCAGTTGCTGTCAAGTCGATTCTGACTCATGGCAACCTCATGTGAGTCAGGGTGGAACTCCATAGGGTTTTCAATGGTTTATTTTTCAGAAGTGGCTCGCCAGGCCTTTCTTCTGAGGTGCCTCTAGGTGGACTCAAATCTGCAACCTTTCTGTTAGCAATTGTGCATGTTAAATATTTTTACCACCTGGGAACTCCTGAATGATAGGAAAGGGCTATTTTCATCTAGACAATTCAGGGAAAGCCTTTCTAATAAATAAATAAATATATATATATGTATATTTGTATATATATATGTATATGTATATTTGTATATATATATGTATATATATAAAATAAACAGAAAGCCCAATAAGATGTTGTTGCTATGTGCTGTGGAGTCGGTCCAGACTCATAGCGACCCCTCCTTGGGTTTCCGAGGCAGTATCACTACGGATGTAGATTGCCCCATCTTTCTTCTGAGGAGTGGCTGGTGGGTTTGAACTGCCAGCCTTCTGGTTAGCAGTCAAGTGCCTTAGGCACTACACTACCAGAGAGTCCTATATGGTAGGTTTTTTTTTTTTTTTTTGTAAGATTTAAAAAGGGTTTTAAGCTTTTTAATATGGAAACTTCAAACATTTACAAAAGTAGGGACTCGTACTACGAACCTCAAACACCCAACAGCAAGATATAATTATGAACTCACAGGCATTCCTAGTTCATCCTATCACATAATCTATAATATACAATTGTGTTTCCATCAATATCTACTGTGATGTGCCTCTATTAACTACAGTTTACATGAATGTAGTTCTCAAGCCTCTCCTTAAAGTAATTGACTAGAAGGAAATGTTAACATTTATTTCCTTATTAACTGAGGTGAACAATGGATGAAGTAATTATCTTAATTCTCTTGGCAACACTGAATTATCAGAAAAAACATTTTGCAGTGGTCTGGAGGTTATCACATGATATTGACAACAAGGATATGGCTGAGATGCCAAACAATTTTTTCTTTGGAGAAATGGCCAAATTTGGTGGAGAATAAAGTCTCTATTCCTGCCTCCTCATATATCTTGTAAATTTGTAAGGGTTCATCTGAGTGGCTCCTACTGAGGACCCAGGAAAGGGTGAGAGAAGGAGAGAAGTCCCTGGATAGCCCTGGGGCTAACAACAAGTTTAAAAGACTAAGTCAAAGAAGAAACTCAAAGGAAAGGGATGAATACAAGAAATTTCAACTGCTTCAATTTTGGTTTCATCATTTTTTTTTTTCACTGGTCATATTTAGTAACGAGTCAAATTTCCCATACCCACACACACAACTTTTATTGCTCTTTGGTTGTTTGGAGATATAAGTCTTGTTTTTATTTATTTACTCATTTTTAAATGATTGCTGTTGTTGGGCACTGGTGAGTCAATTCCGACTCACAGCAGAGCTCTAGGCCGTGGGAGAAAGATGTTAGTAGTCTGCTGCACCGAAGATTTATAGCCTTGGAAACCCTATGACACCAAAAACTCATTACTGTCCAGCTGATTCTGACTCACAGCAATCCTGTAGGACAGAGTAGAACTGCCCTATAGTGTTTCCAAGGTTGTAATCTTTATAGAACCAGATCACCATCTTCTCCCATGGAGCAGCTCGTGGGTCTGAACAGCCAACCTACTAGTTAGCAGCTGGGCACTTAACCACTATGCCACTAAAGCTCCTTTTAAAATGATAATCACCTTAAATTTTTAGTTGAAGTGTTGGTAGAAACTAGTTGCTGTCAAGTCAATTCCGATTCATGGTGACCCCTTGTGGATCAGAGTAGAATTGCACTCCATTGGGTTTTCAATGGTTGATTTTTCAGAAGCTGATCACCAGGCCTTTCTTCTGAGGGACCTCTCCGTGGACTTGAACCTCCAAACTTTTGAATAGCTACCTAGTGTAAATCTTTTGTACACCCAGGGTCTCCTTTGTTAAGTAAGCTAGCTTTAAAAAAAAAAAAAAAAAAAAAGTCTTTTTTTAAATTGGCCTCCCCAGGATCCAGAGTAGCTAGAGGCGTGCTTGCTCTATGTTAATTATGTTCCTATTTAGAAGTCAAGGGCCACTGACAGAAAGCTTGAGAGGAAGTTTGGCTAATAATAGGGTTTCCAGTTAACTAATTAGCTCTAGTGATAAAACTTTAATGGCTGGTAGAACATATTTTGAAAATACTTTAAAGGATAATAAAACCAAACCCTTGTAATTAGTTATTTAAACTGCAAAGAGGAAAATGGGACTGTATTCTTCATAAAACTGTCCAGGAAGCTATTGTAACCAAACCCACAGTTTTTGAAAAGTTTATCTTAAACCTATGCCTCAAACCTGAAACTGAGAAACACATAGAGGACTAGGAGCCCTACTGGTGCAATAGTTAAGCTCTTGGATGCTAACCAAAAGGTTGGTAGTTCGAACCCATCCAGCAGCTCTGTGGGACAAGGACCTGGATGGATATGAGGGTCTGTCAAGATAATGACCAAAGAAACCTATGGAGCACTTCTATTCTGTCACATTGGGTTGCTATGAGTCAGAATTAACTTGGTGTCACCCAGCAACAAAATTAACAACATATTAGTTAGTCCCTAATAGTAAAATGGACACCTCCATAATACCTCTTCTCCCCTAAAATTATTTCATCCAGGTAAGTCTAGAGATACTAACTCACACAGAGAAACCTCCATTGGAAAAAAATTAAGATACATGTTTTTTACTCTGAGACTTCTGAAAACCACTTTTATTTCATTAAGATTTTTATGTGATTCTTAATTTTTAAATTTTTCTATAAAATTGTACAACTAGAAACATTATTTAAAAAAAGATTCCATTGATACAGTGAAAAAGTGAAGCAACAAGTTGCTTCCTGCCACTCTTTATTTCTCATATCCTAGAAAAAATAAGTTAACTCTACTCATGGTGACCCCCATGTATGTTAGAAGAGAACTATATTCTACGGGGTTTTCAATGGCTGATTTTTCAGAAGTAGATCACCAGGCCTTTCTTGTAAGATGCCTGAGTGGACTCGAACCTCCAACCTTATGGTTAGCAGCCAAGTGCATTAGCCATTTGCATTACCCCAGGGACTCCATATTTTAGAAGGGAAGATCAATTAAATAGGAGAATATGCAAGCCTCCCACTTTTTATTTCTCACCCACACACAACAAAACTATAATTTCCCTATTGCTATTACCCCCTTACTTCAATATTCTTTCAAGATAAAAGTAATATGAGAAGGGAGTAAGCTGATAGAACATTAGTTCATCACTAAAATGGAACCTTAAGAAGCATGGGGCAGTGAGGTCATTAAGTTGTGTGTCAGCTTGGCTGGGCCTGGTTTTGAGTTGGCTGAGGATGTAGTTATTACCCATGATGATACTGGTAATACACTTTATGGTGGAATCTACTGGAGATGTGGTCTGCTTCCAGTATAAAAGAAGACAGCTTTGGGAAAGGTCTCTGAGATTTTATAGCAAGCTTAGACCCTGAGTGTGGTCGATTCTTCATCTCAGTGGCCTACCATGTTGTCTGCTGATCTTGGGACTGTTAATGGATTTGAATTAGTGGCCTGCCATCTTCCTTGATAATTTTGGGATGGTGCCATTTTATTTCTCGACCTTGGGTTTGTCAGCCTCAGCAGTTAGTAGCTGCCTGAGTGAAAAGATAGCTCCAACTTCAGTGGGCCGGGAGCAAGAGGCAGAACTAAAGCCGAAGGCTGAGAAGTTTTCACCCCGCCCCTACAGCTTGGCACTTTGAACTGGTACTTCTAGCCTCCTCAGCTTTAAGAGAATAAATCCCTGTCTGTTAAGACCACCCACTTGTTGTATTTTCTGTTAGAGAAGCACTAGAGAAACCAAACAGGCAGTGAAGGGAAGGAAAGCCAGGAGACAGAGAGGGCAGGTCAAACCACCCTACTGCCCATGGTGATCTCTGTCCCTTTCTGGACAGAGCAGGCTGAACAACCTGTTACTGAACACCTGTCATCTGATAAGTGCTCACTTCTGGGTATAAGAAAGAAAGTCTTAGGACAGCATGTAACAGACATATAGGTGCACTTCATCAGCATCACAGACTCATACAATGTTGTCTTTGGAACAGATGAGTCCCCAAGAGACAACAGTGGCCCTTTTGAGTGCAAAATTACTATATGATGTTGTGTATTCCTGGCTTTTTTACCAATTTATTACCTAGTTATTGTGATACAAAAATGCCTCACAGGTTCTGAAAGCCCCACAGGGACAGTACTCTTCTGGACTGAGAATCATGGTCTCAATACAAAGATTTTAAATGGGAAACCTGTCCCCTAGGGTCCAGTGTCCTACATTATGCCAGTGAGAGACATCACTAGGCCACTGTTGCATTCTTTTGATCAAGCCTAGACTCCAAGTCAAAGTCATCTCAAGCTAATGCCCTGGGAGTTAGTATCCATCAACACAGGTAGTGCTTGAAATGAAACTTTATACTCCACTCTGATTGTCTAATAGCTTATTAAATAAGGAATTAGTAAAGCAGAGGACTGCTCCCTGTCTGTCTATTTGTCATACTATGTGAAATGGCTTTCGTGTTGCTGAAAGTTCTGGCACTGGTATTTCAAATATCATCAGGGCCACTGGTGGTACAGCTTCCAGCAGCATAAGCAACATACAAGCCACTGCAGTTTGACAAACCAACAGGTGGGTGGTGGTCAAGGACACTAGCATCATGTATTGTTTTTATTTTTCTGATCCTAGTTAATTTATGGCATAATTCATCAAAAGAGAAACCAGGGTGGAAAAAGGAGACAAGGTACTAGTGGAAACAACTTTTGCTATATAGAAGTGTCTTTTTGGTCAGTTTTTCTAAGCTATTGTGAAAACCATGATTTGTTTCAATCATACTTAGAGATTTAAAACACTTTGGATCTAATTAAATTGAGTTTCTCTGTCTTTCACAAAGAGTCTTAAAAATTGGAAGGGCTCTTCCATTTCACACCTGGTCCACACACCCATCAAGGTAGGAACCCCTCTGCAACACTTGAGTCCTTAGCACACTGCCACCAGATCTTTCCTGGAACACTTAATGAGGGGAGCTTAGGAGATCACAGTGTGGCTCATTCCATTGCCAGGTACCAAGGATTATGATCCTTTTCTTTCTCATATGAAGTCTCACGTACTTTGTAATTTTACACATTAGTCTTATCTTTAGTTTCAGGCAAGATAGATAAGCCTACATTTCAGTTGACAGTTTTCTAAGTACTTGAAAATTGTACCATGTCCCTGTTTAAGTTTCCTTGTCATGGGCCAAATCCCTGGGGTCCTCATGCAGCCCTCCTCATCAGACCACATCCAGGCAGATCATCCGTCCAACAACCCAGAATGCACTTCGATTTGTCAGCAAGCCTTTCAAACCGGATTTAGTTTCTATTAAAAGAGCATGTTTTCTGGTCTAATGTCTTTGTACTTGATTATCATTTCTCTCTCTCTCTCTCTCTTTATATAAGTAGAAAGAAAAAGTCTGAATCTCCCACCAAACCTGTTTCCTCCAGAGTCAGTGTTACAAAGCTCATTCAGGCAGAGGACATTTTTTAAACTAGCACTAAATGATCATTTCTTGTGTTCATGTTATAACTGCTGTAAACAAAGACCAGGCAATTTTTATGCAGTCATCAGTTCACTGGCAAAACGCAGGGTAGCTGGGTTATAGAAAGTGCAAATGTTTTACTGTACATGTGTCTTTACCAATGAAAATACTAATTCTCTAAACACTTACGGGCACATATCTATAGAGATCATCTCAATGGCTACTAACAATAACAACAACAAACCTGGGGAAGAAGAGTTCCTACGTGGTGCAAATGGATAATATGGTAGGCTGCTAAATAAAAGGCTGGGACTTTGAGTCTACCCACAGGCCTCTCAGAAGAAAGGTCTGGCAAATTACTTCTGAAAAATCAATTGAAAACTCTATGAAGCACAGTTCTACTCTGATACATATTAGAGTGCCTTGAGTGGGAATTGACTTGATACCATTTTATTTATTTTATTTTTTTTAAATTTAGCAAAGATGGTTAAGATGTAGTTTGTGCTGGTGTTTGTAGCCCAGTCAAGGACTATGAGATACTACTTTTAAGTGCAATAAAACTGGGAAGCATCAATTGGCATGGATAGCAGATCACAGCATGAATGGATGTAAGTGGACGGTGAGGATGTGAGGGATATGAAAGGCACTATCTCGTCCTTAAGGAGCTCTAGTGGGTAGTAGTTAAGACATTTAGCTGTTAACCAAAAGGTCAGTGGACCAGCTGCTCCGCAGCAGAAAGTTGAGGCAGTCTGCTTCCCTTAAGATTTACAGCCTTGGAAACCCAATGGGGGATAACTATGAGTAGGAATGGGCTCGATGGCAGTGAGTTTGGTTTGGTTTTTGATCTGATCCTTGGAGAGGTTTAAAGGTAGGAAAAAGGGGTAAGGTAAAGTTGATTCTAGGTTCCCTTTCTCACCCTCCCACCAGCCCCACAAAGACAACTACTAGACATCTAGAATTAAAGAGAAAGATTGAGTAGAAAGAATAGAATTAAAAATGCAAGAAGAGTGGTAATTCAATTGAGGCTAACTCTTGTGAGAGGTGGGGAGGGAAACAAAGGGTGATTTAATGAGAGAGTTAAATCCCACAGTTTAATGAAAGAGTTTTCCTGAAAGAAAATCAGATAACACAACATATGATTCCATGACCTGGACAATGGCAAACAATTTTTAAAAGGCTTACCTTTAGGAAGAGCAGCTAAAAACTTAGCATCAATTCCTCTTTTGCCGTTAGTAAATTGCCCTTTATCTTCGAGTGAAAACTCTTTCTGAAAGCTAAAATTTCTTAAATTAATAAAAATTTTAATGTCAATTTAAAACAAGATACATAGTAAGTGAAAAATACAGAACATAAGTATTTATCCTTGCTATATGCCTAAGGCACCTGACTGCTATCCAGAAGGTTGGCGGTTCAAACCTACCAGCCACTCTATGGAAGGAAGATGAGGCAATCTACTTCTGTAGAGATTTACTGCCTTGAAACCCAACAGAGGTCACTATGAGTCATAATCAACTCGATGGCAATGGGTTTGGGTTTGGTTTATGGTTTAAAAAAAAAAAACAGTTGCCATTGAGTCATATTCGACTTGCAGCAACCCATGTGTGTCAGAGTAAAACTCTGCTCCATAGGGTTTTTCAGTGGCTCATTTTCTTTCAGGGCACCTCTGGGTAGAGTTGAACCTTCAAACTTTTGGTTGGCAGCTGAGCACATAAACCATTTGCACCACCCAGGGAATGTGATGCAACAGTTGTTGGGTGCTGTCAAATCAATTCTAACTCATAGTAACCCCATGTGACAGAGTAGAATAGCCCCTTAATGGTTTCCTTGCTTCCAACAACCAATAAATTAAAGCATGGTGAATAATTTTGAAGGGCTCATGAAAAAGTAAAAAAAAAAAAAAAGGAAATGAAAGGGGAGAATGAAAAAGGAATTTAACACTTATTATGTATTTGTTGCCTATACTAAGCATATCCCAGTACTATTTTAATTATCTTCACAAGAACACTATCAAGTAGGAGTTATTCAATGGTGTTCTGGTAAATGTTTAGCAACTGGCTTCTTCTTCCTAAATTTAGTGCTGTGCTTTGTAGTGTTTCCCAGTAGTGTAAATACTCTTACCATGGCTGATTTCAAGCTACCCACAGGTGGTCACTGAACTAAAAATTGGGAAGAGAGGCATACCATAGGTTTCAAGAGCTAGCTCTAGTAAACCACCACAATGATTACCGTCCTCAGTTTATGCAGTAGGAAACTGCTCAAGGATTTACCCAAGGATACATATTTGTCAAGAAGTATAGACAAGATTCAAATCTAGCCCAGTTCTAACATTATGCTCCACTGTTCCCAAGATGGGTATGTTGTTGTTGTTATTTGCCATCAAGTCGGCACCGACTCATAGCGACCCCTCCTTGGGTTTCCGAGGCAGTATCACTACGGAAGTAGGATTGCCCAACCTTCCTTCCGAGGAGTGGCTGGTGGGTTTGAACCGTCAGCCTTCTGGTTAGCAGTCAAGTGCCTTAGGCACTATGCTACTAGAGCTCCTAAGATGGGTATAGGCACACACACACAATTCCACCGTCAGCTTTGGAAGGGTACCTGGAGTTGGGCAACAGACAGTGCTGCTGCCTTGTAGGAAGAGAACAAAACCTGGAAAGCAGGATTAATGAGAAGGCTAGAGGTTCAAACCCAACAGCCACTCCTTGGAAGGAAGATTGGGCAATCTACTTCTGTAGTGATACCACCTCAGAAACCCAAGTAGGGGTTGTTACTGAGTGGGATCCGACTTGACAGCAGTGAGTTTGGTTTTGGTTTTTAATATTCTCCAGTGACACTATTACCCTCGAGAGGTGAAGAACAGGCCTGAGAAAGCATTCAGTGTAAAGCAGATCTTCCTCCTGTATCAGTTCTTGGATTTGTATTTCCTCATTGTAGGAACATTATTTCCACAGAAGAGAAGAGACCAAGGGAGTAGATGTATTATGTAAGTGGTACACATGCATAATCTATATCCAATATGTAAAATAAATTTCAAGAAACATTTCCAAATACAATTTATGGTCCCACCCTTCCCAGAACCAGGCTCATCTGAAAACTCAGCTATTGTTTATAAATGTGGTAAAGCTTAATGTTTATAAATATGAGTGGCATGCATTTACATTATTTAAGAAAAAGTCTTGGGAGTAACTGTTGTTGTGTTATGTACCACCAAGTCAGTTCTGACTCATAGTGACCCTATGTATAAAAGTAAGAAACACTGCTTGGTCCTGCATCATCCTTACAAATAGCCCATTGTTGCAGCCATTTTGTCAATTAATCTCACTGAGGGTCTTCCTCTTTTTTGCCAACCTTCTACTTTACCAAGCATGATGTCCTTCTTGAGGGATTGGTCCTTCTTGATAACCTCTCCATAGTACATGAGACAAAGTCTTGCAATCCCTACTAAGGAGCATTCTGGCTGTACTTCTTCTAAAACAAACTTATTCATTCTTTTGGCAGTCCAGAACCATAATTTGCCAACAGCATAATTCAAAGGCATTAGTTCTTCTTCAGTCTTTCTTATTTATTGTTCAACTTTCGCATGATATGAGGTGACTGAAAATACCATGGCTTGTGTCAGGCATACCTTAGTCCTCAAAGTGACGTCTTTGCTTTTTAACATTAAAAAAGGTCTTTTGCAACAGATTTTCTCAGTGCAATCCATCAATTTCTTAACTGCTGCTTCCTTGGATGTTGACTGTGGATCTAAGTAAAATGAAATCCTTGACAACTTCAGTCCTTCCTCTGTTTACTATTATGCTGCTTATCAGTCCAGTTGTGAGGATTTTTGCTTTCTTTATGTTGAGGTGTAATCCATACCAAAGACTGCAGTCTTTGATCTTTATCAGTAAGTACTTTAAGTCCTCTTCACTTTCAGCAAAGTTGTGTCACCTGCATATCGAAGTTTGTTATTGAGTCTGCCTACAATCCTGATGTCATGTTCTTCGTCATACAGTCCAGCTTCTCAGATTATTTGCTCAGCATACAGACTGAATAAGTATGATGAAAGGATACAACCCTGACACACACCTCTCCTGAATTTAAACCATTCAGTATTCCCTTGTTCTACTCAAACAACTGCCTCTTCGTATACGTACAGGCGCCTCATGAGCACATTTAAGTATTCTGGAATTCCTATTCTCAAAATTATAGATAATTTGTTATGATGCTTTGCATAGTCAATGAAACACAATAAAACCTTTCTGGTTTCTTTGCTTTCAGTCAAGATCCATCTGATGTCAGCAAATGATATCCCTTGTTCTACATCCTCTTCTGAATCCAGCTTGAATTTCTAGCAGTACCCCTTTCTGTTGATGGACTGCTACAACTGCTTTTGAATTATCTTTAGCAAAATTTTACTTGCACATGACATTAATGACATTCTTTTGTAATTTCTGAATTCTCTTCTATCTTCTTTGGAATGGGCACGAATATGGGTCTCTTCTGATTGGTTGGTCAGGTAGCTGTCTTCCAAATTTCTTAGTATAAACGAGTTAGCGCTTCCAGTGTTGCATTTGTTTGTTGAAACATCTCAGTTGATACTCCATCAGTTCCTGGAAACTTATTTTTCACTAAAGCCTTTGATGCAGGTTGGCCTTCTCTTTTCAGTACCATCAGTTCTTGATCATATGCTACCTCCTGAATAATTAGTGTTTTAAACTACTTTCCAAACCAATAAGACTAAGAGACTTCCCCCTAGTTAGACACTTTGCTGAACTTCTGCAAAGTGGGGTTTACAAGTTATTGTCCCAACACACCCTAGTTCCATATGTAATTGCTGCCTCAAAAGAAGGTGAAAATATTGCCAGCACCAGTATAAAAAAAAGTGTAGCCTTTTCACAGTAGGTTGGAAATCAGTGTAAACCCAACTCTACAAGGAAAATTTCTCATGGTTCTAACCATGGCTTACTACAAATGCTGTTCCCTCTACCTGAATTAATTGTTTTCCAGCCTCCGTCCAGCCTGGCTCTGATAGTGCAGTGGATAAGGGACTTGACTGCTAACCAGTATTGCACTTGTTTGTTGTCAGCAGTTCAAACCCACCCACTGCAGAAGGAACACTGGGCAATCTACTTCTGTAAAGATTTACAGCCTGGGAAATCCAATGGGGGTGGCTATGAGTCGGAAATGACTCAATGGCAGTGAGTTTGTTTTTTTTTTTTTAACCCATCCTAAGTCCTGTTCCTAATCTGGGCCTCAGTTTAATTGTCATTTCCTCAGGTAAGATGTCTCTGATCGATGGCCTATCTCAACCAGCACCCTAATCTAAATGATGTATTTCTGCTATTTTCTCTCAGGCTATCCTGTTCTCCTATTTGCAGCACATATAACAAATGTCATTATGTAGGTTTGTCGAATGAGTTTTAAAATTTCTCTCTCTCTGACTAGAAATTTATGAGGGTGGGGGCCATGTCTGTTTGGTTCACTACGGTATTCCTGATGTCTAGCACAGTGCCTGGTATTCTACAAATATGTACTGAATGAATAAATAAATGACTACAACAAAATGCTTTGATGCATACTAAAATTCACCCTAAAATATTTAATGTGTTATATGTTACACACTATTTGTATGATGATATTGTTATGTGCCATTGAGTCAATTCTGGTGCTTAGAGACCTGATGTGACAAAGTAGAACTGCCTCATAGGGTTTTCTAGGCTGTAGTCTTTATGGAAGCAGATCTCCAGGTCTTTTTCCCACGGAGCCACTGGGTGGATTCGAACTGCCAAGCTTTTTGGTTAGCAGCTGATCACTTATCAATTGTGCCAGCAGGGCTCCTTATCTGTATGACAGCTAGGGGCAAATATCATTACAAAGATTGAAGATAATTAGAAGGGCATAAGGAGCCTTGGTAGCACAGTGGTTAAGCACTCAGCTGCTAACTTAAAGGTTAGTGGTTTGAACCCATCAGACACTCCATGGGAGAAAGATGTAGCAGTCTGCTTCCATAAAGATTATAGCCTAGAAACTCTATGGGGTAGTTCAACCCTGTCATACAGGGTTGCTATGAGTTGGAATCAAGGTGAGGGCAGCAGCTTTGGTTTGATTAGAAGGACATACATTCAATCGTATCAGTCATAAACATGTGGGCTGTCTATTTCCATCTTTACAATAACATAGCATTGAGAGTGCATGTCTCCACATTGCCTTGCTTATGTTGCATACATGTATGAAAATATTAGTCTATTTCCATGTGTTTGCATAGTATGAAAAATCTACACCTTCAAAGTACACTGTTATTATT